CTTACCATTTCTTATGCATTATGGTTCGAACACTCGGATACTTATTCGGACCCTCTTGCATGATGGCAGATATGTAATTATTGTGTTTGCTTACCATTTCTCTTGCAATATAATTCGAACACTCGGACACTTACTCGGACCCTCTTGCATGATGGCAGATATGTAATTATCGTGTTTACTTACCATTTCTTATCTATTAGGCTTCGAACACTCAGACACTTATTCGGACCCTCTTGCATGATAGCAAATATGTAATTATGCTGTTTACGTACCATTTCTCATGCATTATGGTTCGAACACTCGGACACTTATTCGGACCCTTTTGCATGATGGCTGATATGTAATTATCGTGTTTACTTACCATTTCCCATATATTAGGGTTCGAGCACTCGGACACTTATTCGAACCCTCTTACATGATGGCAGATATGTAATTATTGTGTTTACTTACCATTTCCCATGCATTAGGGTTCGAACACTCGGACACTTAATCGGACCCTTTTGCATGATGACAGATATGTAATTATGGTGTATACGTACCATTTCTCATACATTAGGCTTCGAACACTCGGACACTTATTCGGACCCTCTTGTATTATGGCAGATATGTAATGATCGTGTTTTTACTTACTATTTCTCATGCATTAGGGTTTGACCACTCGGACACTTATTCGGACCCTCTTAAATGATGGAAGATATTTAATTATGGTGTTTACTTACCATTTCTAATCCATTACACTTCGAACACTCGAACACTTATTCGTACCCTCTTGCTTGATGGCAGATATTTAATTGTAGTGTTTGCTTGCTATTTCTCATGCATTACGGTTCGAACACTCGGACACTTATTCGGACCCTTTTGCATGATGGCTGATATGTAATTATCGTGTTTACTTACCATTTCCCATATATTAGGGTTCGAGCACTCGGACACTTATTCGAACCCTCTTACATGATGGCAGATATGTAATTATTGTGTTTACTTACCATTTCCCATGCATTAGGGTTCGAACACTCGGACACTTAATCGGACCCTTTTGCATGATGGCTGATATGTAATTATCGTGTTTACTTACCATTTCTTATCTATTAGGCTTCGAACACTCAGACACTTATTCGGACCCTCTTGCATGATAGCAAATATGTAATTATGCTGTTTACGTACCATTTCTCATGCATTATGGTTCGAACACTCGGACACTCATCTTATGTGTCTGGAAACGGTATGGGATTAGACGAGAGCAATGTAGATGTGGTTACCATTTGGCCGTGTAATTCAAGTACAACTCTGATATAATTTTGTTGCCTTGGTTGGTGAAACAGCGCCTTTAAGTTTCTGCAGGTAGTCCCTCTTTGGTAAAAAAATAATGGGATATGTCAGAAAAGATGTTTCTTTATTTTGTAATCTAAAACGACGTCGCTTGAGGCCATAGCTCACTCTCATGAATCACTTACTTCTCTGATACGCAAGTCCACTCTCCCAAAAAACTTTATGTGTCAAGAGAGTTAAGGGAGTGAGTTATATATATGGTTCCCGGAGCGTGGCCCCACTAATATTTTACTTGGGACGCCTCCCCCCCGCGCCACGTGTCATCCCCGGATTGTGCTCCCTTCCGCGATTTTGGTAGCCGTGTTATCGTTACAGGCTCGCGCTGCCGCTCATAGATCTGCAGGTCCGAATTAAAAGATGTTGACAGGAAAAGTGCAGTATAAATTACTATATGTAAAAGGACAAAAGATAATGTGCAGATTTGTCTTAATTTTGCAATGGCATCCCGGAGATTCTGGACCAATTCGGTGATTGGTTTTACAAATTACGAGCCGGATTTCTATTGTCTGCTCCGGTCCTTGATGGCTTTGATGTGCATTAATCCGCTGAATGTTCTGGTTGCAGGCATTAGACATAGACGAAAGTATTCTTAAATAATTACATCTCATCAGAATTGATTATAGCGTTCTCCAATTCTGACAATTAAATTTGATGTATTTCATGCGTATGTACGTGTCTAGTTCACTGGGCATTATATTGGTAATATATAGGCCGAGTTGTTTAATGCGCATCATTTCGGATGGAGCTCGTCGCTACTGAAATTGGGCCCTGTTACTGTAATAATTCACATGCGCTATTTAGCATTCCAGCCCCAGCCGCGAAGAGGTTTATTCAGCCCATTATTGTTAAAGCCCGATGTGATTGTGATTGACAATCCACCAACTTATTACAGCCCATAATTTATTAAATCTGGTGAGACACGGGAATTTATTGGGACAGATATAAATTCAGAAAAAGAAATGGCAATATTATTTAATATAAAAATCTTGATGTAAACATGGTTCCCCATCGCCAATCTTTTACAAAATATCAAAATATCGTCGAGTACAATGGTCAGCTGTGAGACAATAATTAACGGTACTAATAATTCCCAAAGGCTGGCTTATTTGGTCGTCATTCCTGCGTACAATAGAGCTGGGGTGGGTAAATACATCAGTCCGTCGAGGCTTCTAGACAAAACGTATGTCAGGGCCTGATATACATTGTACATGGAACTCCTGACCCCCAAGTGCTCTCCAAAGATTGTATTGAAGAGGCATCTATCTTGAAAGGATCTCCTGGTTCCTGCATGGACATGTCTACGGCTTCACTAAACCACATCGGGTTGTTTCAAGTGTTGTAAAAGACCCTTGACAGCGTGCGCTCTCTCTCCAATGGATGTGAGTTCGCTACACCGTTTGTGTGGAATTATCGAGGCATCCGACATTGGAAATGGAATACCTGTTCCTGCGTTTAGGCCTTATTCTTCTCATGCAATGCCTCTTCTTGATAGCTCTGGCCGAACAGGGGACTGATTGGATTGTGAGAACTTGGCGTTGTTGATAGTCGCACGCTTGATTCTGCGGTGTTCATTGTCTAATAATGTCTGTAAACGTAGAATCGGATCTCT